TATTGGGTGTCTTGGTGCCAGGAATACATCCACGAGTTTCTATTTTTGGATCCAATACTATATATAGATATATAGATACGATGCAGATCGAAGAGGATAGATATATAGACACAGAACGATAGATAGATAGATAGATATATATATATATATATATATGGATATATAGATATAGACAGGCCTGTATCTGTCTAGAGGACGATATCACAAATGTTGTTCAATATGTGCTCATAGTATCGGTATGTATGTGTGTGTGTGTGCGTGTATGTATATAAGTATATACATATATAGTAAGGATTGCATATATGCATAGATACCGCCCTATATGTCTAGGGGAAAAAATTCTGTAGGTAAATAGCTAGCAAGATAGATAGTTGGCTAGATAGACAGGTGGATAGGCCCATGATAAGTCTGATGGACGGTTTAGGGTTTAGGAGCTCAAAGTGGGTCTATACCTAGATTGAAACTGAGGACTGCGGCGACGTGTCGCCCTGGGTGCTGGCTCTCGGCTGAAGAATAAGCAAGAAAACCTTTCAGCCCTGCTGTGCTTCCGGAATTCATATATTGGTACCTATAGCTGGCCTCTAGTTATTATGCCCCGAAGCAGAGCTTATCGAAGTGGCACAGCAGCATATCTCGCCCCACTCACGATCGTTGCGGCTGCCGGCCTTGGTTCAGATCGGTCATAGAGGGACGGTTCTATTAAGGCTACTATATAGGGTTCTAAAGGAACGGGAACTTAGGTTTGCGAATCTGCGTGGTCGTAGCTGGGAGCCCGGGGTTTGGTGGTGGAAGAGACTCAAGGCTTTGGGATCTATATTTGTACATCGGAGGTTCATCCCTGCTTATTCGGGTCTTTGCTGATTTGGCATGAAGCATGCTGCCCTACACTATCGATCTAGAAGAAGACCTTTTAATTTGTGCCATCTAACATATAATAAGTCAGTCAAGGGATCCATATTTTGATCTTCCCTCCCCAAAGATATTTAGGTCATATGGGTTGTGATCGCAGGCCCTCAAAATCACTAACCTCCGAAAAAGAAACCCCAGATTAGTTATTGACGTGAAGACGAGGAGGGCCCCGAATCGTGAGGTTGAAGTCACACCACTCTGCAACCCC